GAACAAAGCAGCATAGCGCAACGAATTCAATTCAAATCAATATAAGACTTATTTGTAACCTACATCAATAATTATGTTATAATAAATTACGTAATAACAACAACAAAAGGCTCACCTTTGTGGAAATGCTTGGAGCAGACTAAGTAAGCTGGAGTGTTCTGGAATGTTATATTTGGTCTTCGAATGGCTGCAATCCAGGCCATCCGTCACCTCTTTGTTACTTCAGAAACATGGCTTGAACAATTTTTCTTCCACGACGGAATCCGACAAAAACATATCTCTTTACCGGTTGGCTTCCCGTGGCTGTCATGCGACCGGCTATTGCGGTTAATAATACAACAGCTTCTTGCCATTCTTTGTGTTTCTTTTTATCGCTGTGTGACTGTTTTCTTGTGAAAGCCTGCGTGCGCTCATACCACTTGCCACTCGTACCTACAATCCTTTGCGGTTTTGTCACATTTTCAAGCTCTATTCCAGTTTTCAACAATGGCGGCAGCTACTTAGTTTTAATATTACTCTAATTACTCTTTCTGGGTCACAAAATAAACGTTTAACATATTTTCAGGCGAGAATGTAGCTGCGTAAACTTCAAATATCTGCTCGGTTTATCAAGACATGACATATTTGCAAAAGTGCTCCGACGTTTTTGGAGACCCAACAGCTCGATAGCTAGAAGGTTCAAGGCTCACTAGAGCCAGCGAGAACAGTGAACTCCTGGCATATCATTTTTAAACCCCCTTGGGTCTTTCCCTACTCAGGTTAAACATGATATATAAGTCACTCAGATAATTTAAAAATGTTATTGTTTGGCTTTTTTCAGTGTTTTTTTTTTGTTCCTCAGTAAATTGGTTTGGCTGAGATTAAAGTTATAGTTTTTACACAGCTGAATAAATGTCAAGCAGAGAACTGATTAAACAGAAGTGTGAAATGGTAGAGAATTTACTCCAGTGTCCTGTTATATTTTACATAGAAAAAACAGCTGGCCGAGTTTATTAAATTCCACCGAGACAATCTGAAAATTTCATTAAAAGTTCAATAATTAGCAAATTAGCAAATCTAAATATAGTTTTAGTTGAACATGAGAAAATATTTTTTGTGATGTTATGTTCTAAGTTGAAGGCGTTGTATACGTTTTTGTTGTTCAAATTTAGATGATGAGGATGTAAACCTGAGGGGGTAGGGCTAAATAAGTATATACTTATAGTATATATTTCAAACAACTGCATGGAATGATTTTATGAAACGTTGGTGAATGTATATGTTTGAAATAAAAAAGAACTGAACTGAACTGAACTGACTAAACTGTCATCTTGTCTTTATTTTTAGTTAGCACATACCTTAAACACTTCAAGCTGTAAGCTAATAATAGTTATATAAGAGCAGACGCATGCTGGTGCAATAAGCTATACGTTCTAGCTTTAGCATGATCTGATTAGCCGACTAATCAGAAAAATAATCGGTGTCTAGTCGACTATTAAAATAATCATTTGTGGCAGCCCTAATCAATACAAACGTCTCATACCAACAGGCAGCACAGTGGTGGAGGAGTGATAATCTGGGCTTGTTTTACAACCACAGAACCTGGACACCTTGCACTAAGTCGACCATGAAGTCTTCTGTATACCAAAGTGTTCAAGACTCAGATGTGGAGCAATCTCTCTGAACAAATCCCCGTGAATCTCAATGAGCTGAACTGAAACATCCCCACGATGTGATAGACTGATAAAGAAAAGCCCCACAGAAAACCATTACTTCAAGTTATTGCTGGGAAAGGTTGCTCCACTGTCCTGTGGAAACTCTTTTTCACAGGAAATTGTTGCTCCTAGAGCAGCAAGACCACAACAGGGAATCCCAGTAATCAGGAGGCCTTCTTCTACCCTGCATGTCTGTTATACACAATACTGCAGCATTAACATTTTCAGCAACTAATA